AGAACCAGACAGACGGTTTGAGAAGCCAGGTCATCCTGCAGCTAACTTTGTTTGGCATGCCCTGCAGACAATTTATTCAGCCTGTTCTGCACCTAACACTACTTGTATAGAGAGAACAGAGTTATCTTTTTCCTCCCCCAGGTTTAATGGCTTTTTTCCTGGAGCATGCTGGAAGTTGGATCTCCTGAGCAGCGGGTTTCATGCAATGCTCAGAATCACCACAAGAGGGAAGCACCTCACAAAATTCAAACTTTAATTCAAACTAGTCATTTCTTCTGATAACATTTATTAGTTAACTGCTCTTAGTGATGCCAGTTATGGTCCTAAGGGCTTGCTGTGATACGGTTAATTTAATATTCACAATCTAGTAGTTAGATGGGTATTTCTAGGTCCCTCTTTCCTGGARTTGAAGTCACTGCCTTGGTTTCTTTGCTATACAATTCCCCTTACAGAAGAATTGATTGGATGAACATATAGCCAGGCAGAGACTCAGAGTGAGGGCTTCACAGATATGGCTATTATTATTATGGCAAAAGACATCCACTTCAAGAGCGAGTGATTGGATTGTTCTTGACACATAARGAATGTCAATTATATGGTTCAGGGATTCCACTTCAGAGAAAATAATTGGATGGTGGTCCAGAAATGGGCATCTGAGGGTGACCACTGTTGAGGGGCCTGTCCTTCCAGCATCAACTGTGGGGAGCTTGGGGACATGGAGAAACCCCTCCGGAGACAGTTTCAGAGAATGGCATCTGCTTTATTGTGAAGCAAGAATAGATTTTATARTGGGTATGTGCCGATTTACATATAACAATCATGATAGGCCAGAGGTGATACACAACATATCATCTTATGGGAGTCCAGACACCAAGAGTTCAGAAATTGCCACATAGGCTGACCTTRTACCAACAGGGGAATAACTCCTTGCCTAAGGAGCAAGGAAATGATGCTTGCCAGAGTTCTGACAGCACTCTGTCCCAAAACATAGCGTTCTGTGTTAGGACTTCCCTGCCGCACAATGATCAAGATAAGCATTCCTCCACGTAGGCTSAGAGCCAGGCTCACCAACAGACCATCCTGCTCTTATTTGTATGAATAAACAGCTTGGAAACTCCTCAAGTGATCAGCACCTAAAGAACCTTTCTTCTGATCTGATCATGCTGGTGGCTGAGTCTTTCCAAGTCCCTCTTTTGTCCTTCCAGGACTCCTGAGGGCTCCCAGGATCCAGTCGGAACAACTCAGCTAGGTGTTCAGAGCCACCAGCTTTGGCAGTCTCATCCCTCACCATGACACACCCTTTCTCCATATCATTGCATCCCTGCAACTCCTTGCCATTCTCCGGATGTGCTCTCCACATTCTACTTCTGTGACTTTGCTTAGCCCATGCCCCCTATCAAGAACGTCCTCTCCAACTCCATTTCCTTCTCTCTTCAGCATTCAAGGACCAGATCTGATGGTGCTTGCCATGACCCCTCCTTGATCCATAAATGTGCACCTAAGGGTGACCACCATGCTCTTATTTGTATGAATAAACAGTACTCTTCATCATTGTGTCCATCCCACTCTCCCACCCACAAGAGTTATAAGGGCCAATTTAAGGAGACTTATGGGTGGCAGGCAATTTTTCTTTTCACTATGGCTTCTTCAAGGGTTGAAGATTCTGATGGTTTCTGTAGCTTTGCTGTTTGGTAAGATATGGGCAATGGAGCTCTTGGGAGGTGAGGTGAAGGGGTTTTTTCCTTGCTGCCCTCTCTGTCCCTGAGCTGAGCCTTTCCCTGCCAGCCATGTACCTGGTGCACCCACCCCAGGATAAACACTATGCCAGGCAGTCCTGAGCCACAGCAGGACCTGGTCTTCACATCTGGGGATATAAACTGGAAGAGGCTTCCTTCCTGATGGGCTTTGAGTCATTCCACCAGGTGCCTTGAGATTCCCTTATCTCCCTGGAGTCCCTGCTGCTTYTCCCATTGAGAGGTGAGACCGCCAGCACCCTGGGCCTCCTGTTCCTCTCCTCTGATCCTCACAGTGCATCTGGGGAGCCATTAGGGCTGGAGTCCAGGGCAGACCTGCTTCCTGAGGCTAGGGCTTCCCAGCCAGATCCAACACTGGGGACAGAGGCCCACCCCGACCCTGAAACCCTGGCCTCTTAGGTAGAGCCTAGCACATAGAAGGTACTCAGCAAACACTAAACTAATGCCTTAAAATTTCCTTTTAAAAAAATCCAAACTCCTTTCCCTTCCTGAATCTGCCCTAGGCCCTCTGAGTTCAGAAAACCCCTCTTAGGGGCAGCTTGGCAAAGTGGTCAGGAGCTCAAATAAGAAACAGAATTAACTGAGGGTCATGTAGGGGTTGAGTCCACTTACACACAGCTCAGTTGCTCACACAAAAAGTAGGGAGAGGTTAAAKGTGAACTAGTTTCATGTTAATACCACTTGGTATTATCTGAATCTGSCGAGATTCCTCTAACCTTTAAATATTTCTGGAAGAACCCTCTTTTAGAATTGTGAACCCGAGTTCTGCAACTCATAATAGTATGTAATCACAGGCAGATAACAGCAGGAATTCCTAGCCTTGTTCTCTATATCTGTAAAATGGGAATCATCTTGAGGTTTCCAAAAAGTGTATSGCAGGACTTTAATGGCAGCCATGATGATACTTGATGCTGCTCAAGGTTATTTGAGGGGCATTCTTTCCGCCCATCCACTCTTATAACCTCCCTTGGGARAACTTGTCAAAGGCTTGTTCTTCAGTCTGGTGGTGGGAACTTGCTGGGCCTCCCTGTGGAGGCTGCTGCTTTGGTAGGAGGCAAACAGCTTTGACACAGCTGGCACTCCTAGGAACCACTCCAGCCAGGGAGACTTYATCTATTACCTACAGCCCCTGCAGGTGGCCCTTCAGCACTGCCTGGTGGATTCTGACTAATGTGTGTAAAGAGGTAGATGGATCATTGTGGACCCTTAAAGTATTGCCTGAAGAAGAGGAGAGCAGAGTGGGGGCCACCTGCCAGCCTCTATTGCTTCTGACCTCAGTTTCYAACTTGTTGCGACAGCACCTATTTGGTAGGTAAGAGTTAAGTGAATTAAATCTCACCTACCACTCTGAGCCTCTATCACCCATTTAGGAACCATTGAAGAATAAATGGAATTATGGCTGTGTACTTGCTGRAGAATGATGCTGATCTTTGTCAAGGACAACCCTCCTCCCCTAGATACCTCCCTGCTTTCCTATTGGAAGGTTCATGGCTGACCCTAGAAGCCAGCATACAACTCATGTTGAACTGCACCATTAACCTCTATGTGGATAAATATGTGGGTTCCCAGAGTAATCTTCTAAATCACTCCCAAAGGATGTGCATACTTGTCTTCAATAGGGGGCCTGTAGAGCTGCAAGTGTTGAGAGCCAGAGATCTGGATTTTGCAGTCTGGGTYGGCTGGGCCAATGGCATAGCTGTGTGTAGAGGTCTGGCTAGTTGCCCTTGGTCATTATTGATGTAGTTATATATAGAAGACAGCTTTGATGACTTTGTTATTGGTGACCAAGATTCTTTTGTGTGTGTCTGGTCTGAGCTTGCTTTGGTTTGGACCTACTCACTTGGGCTGTGAAAATGCTTAGCAGAGGATAAGCTGTTCTTCCCAGAYAAGGTGCAGGCAGTGGAGGGATGACAAAGGAAGGAGGTGGGGGGGCTGGAAATAAACAGGGAAACAGGTTTATCTTCTTCAAAGATGGTGGCAGCACCCACAATTTGGTCCAAGCATGTCACAAGTGTCCTCAAAAGAGGATAGATTATTACCACTGGTACAGGGTAGAAGAATAGGGTTGTCTGGCCTTTTCCCMTTGGATCATCAGGGTTGGAGGATGTGGGTGTAGACATCTTGTGTTGTGGGAGCTAAGGTAGATGTGAGCAGTGCTGTTGGGTACCATCATTCGTCAAGGCTGCTCTGTTGCAACTGAGCAGGGGGACTTGCTACTAYCAGGAGGCAGAGGCAGTGCAGGGAGCCTAAAGCCCTGGTTGGAGCCAAGATTTGAAATGTGCCTCTTGGCATCTACTGATGTTCATCCATGGCCTTGGGGATGGTGTTAGAATGAAATGACTAAGCTCAGAAAGTATTTGAAACAATGTCTGTTGCATAGAGAACACTCACCAAATGATAGGTGTGATTTGCTTTTATTATGCCAGGCAGCAGCTAGTCAGATGGGATTCTTTGCTTTGAGAAGTGTTCCTTTAATTACTTAAAATATAAGCTGAGTTCTCCAAAGGAAGGAGGTGAATGTGGAAGTGATGGATGGGAGAAGGTCTGAAGGAGGCATCTCCTATCATAGTTTTTGTGCCTGAGGCTCCCTGGGTCCCAGCAGAGAGTCCATCCCTGGCACACCTCTACCCCTGTCCAAGGTGCTGAAACTTGCCCCATAGCGGTTCCTCCTTGTTATGCACACCCATGAATTGCCCATTTCCTACCTTCTGGTCTTCTGTTTGATTCTGCAAGTATACAATAAGCATATATAGGGAGAGGAAGAAAAGGGGGCTTAGATAAAGAAAGGAATTCAAGCACACACAAACACCTTAGGATGGGTGAAGATGAAGGCTAGGGGGTTCATTTCCCTATTATTGGGTTTCAGTGATATCCATCTCTTGCATTTACTCTTTCTTCTTCCTCTTCTCTTGATACCCTCCAAGGCTGTGCCTTTCAAACCTTCCCTGATCTGACTCCAGCAGATGAATGACTCTTCCCTAGGGTAGCTCTTTCTCTACTCATTAATGTTATACAGTCAGGAAATCTAATGATCAGTTTCAGGGAATTGGGGGGCAAGGTCTATAGAGCAAAAACAGAGGGTTAAGGGTCTCTGAGAAATGGGGATCCCTTTAGACAGGGGTGAGCTCCTCGTCGTATTTCTGCATGCCCTCATCTGGGAGCAGCACCTCCACTGTGAAGCTGACCTTCTTGGCATGGACAAAGCTATAGGTGTTGTCAAAGCGCAGAACATCTGGGGGACAGATGGGAAATAGGCAGTTGAGCCTGGCTTCACACTCTCTGCAACCCTGCCCTGACTGTGAGGGAAGATGGGCTTGTGTTCCTTTGGACTTTATCAGGCTGGCCCAAGTTCTCACCATGATTTTTACCTCCCCTTTGGAACTGAAACCCCTGAGCAGAGCCTGTAAGCAGCACTAACCTAGGCTATGTGTCCTCCTGGCATGTGCCCAAGCCTGTCTTTAGTTGCATCAACTGGCAAGGAGAACAATGATCATTATATTTCATTGTTTCTACACCTGGATGCTCACATGATGGTCATGCAAGGGGAGACAACTGGGAGCATCAGAGGCCTCCCAATCCCTTTGGGCAGAGTGGATGCTGAGTCAGGTCTGCTGCATACCCTTTGTCTTCTCTCAATCACCCCGAGAGGCAAGAGTTACAAACTCAGATTTACAGGTGAGCAAACCAAGRGTCCTTCCCGGATCAGTCAAATTTTGCATGGGTTATACAGCTACACTGAGGCTAAGGTGGAACCCTGGGATCCCATTCARCTTTGTGGCTCTGCACAAATTGATTCTCTTCTCCAGAGTTCCAGTTTCCTCGCAGGAAAATTTACACCACCCTATTGTCCCTTGCCTATATCCTGTGGCCCTCAATCCCTTCAGGACCTGTGTGTCTCTGGCTTTTGGTACAAGGCAGGTGTTCATGGGTATGGCCCTAGTAAATGAAAGTGTGATTAAGTAGCACTAACCTAGGCTGTGTGTCCTTATGTGGGGAGGTGTCACTGCTCCTGTTTCCTCTCCTCAACTATAGGACAGGTGGCTCCTGCCTTCTGAAACCATGCCCAGACTTACAGACACCAGCCTCTGAGCAGGTGAGGCTYCCATCTTCAGGCACCATGTGGGCATTGTAGCGCTGGCTGGTCAGCACCTCTGTCATCTCTCCAGCCTTCTGGCGCTCCCCCATCTTGGTCTTCAGGAAAACCCCAAATCCAATATCAGCTCCATCAGATGAAAATTGCCACCTATGAGGGGAGAGGTTGCTGCTCAGTCTGATAGGTATTGAGGGGTTAGGGCCCAGCTGGGGGTGGGACTGTGGCCTCTCCCTACCTGAGGACACAGCCTGGAAACAGGATCTCATATTCCACCTGGTGTGAGGAGCCACGGCTGATCTGCACTGAGTGTTCATACTGAGTCTTCACCTGGTCCCGCACGTACATGGACTTGGGGATCTCCCCACCATAGTTGATCTGCAGACATAGGATGGGAGGGGGCTTGCTCCCCTCTCCTGGCCATTGTTCATGCTGTTTCTCTGGCCTGTGACAATGTCCCCATCTCCAGGAAGTATCCTGCTCATCCTGTCCCCACCTTGCCTTCCCCTGAAGCTTTTCTTGACCCCCCCCCCCAAGCTGGGACAGGGCCTCCTATGGGAGCTTCCATCTCTAGCTGATCCTTCTGGGTCAAAATTCCCTTATTTTCTATTTGCCTACACAGCTTCTCAGAACCCTCATAAAGGCATGCCTGCAGCTGTCCAGCTCAACATCTGGTYTCCCCACACCAGTGTCTATGCACACATATCTGTGGAATGAACAAGTGAGAAAGGAACCCAGCCCTACTCCCTAACCCTGCCCTGTCCTTGAGTTCATTGTACCTTGGTTAAGCATTTGGGGTTTCCATCTGGGTCAGTCATGGTTCCCCCAAAATGGGCAGGCAGTTCCTCAGGACTGATGAGTTTCAGCAAACCTTCCTTCCAGCTGTCTAGGGGCAGGGAGATTAAAGGGTGATTACCAACCACAGAGAGAACCAATCAGCCTCCTACACCCTCCAGGACRCCACAAACTTGCTTCTCCAAACTCTATAGGAGCTAGGCTGCCAGGGCCAACTCCCCAGCCTCTTAGGCCTCAGCTGTAGGAAGTGTCTTTCCCAGCATCTTGTTGCTTTGGAAATGTCTTCTCATTGGCTTACAGGTTTGCACATTCTTCAAGGTCTCCCAGTTATGAGCAATAAAGCTAAAAGTTGTTTAATTGTATCAAGGAGACTTTAATTTTTTAAATTATTTACTGATTGATTTTCATAGTGCTGGGGATTAAAACCAAGGGTGCTCTATCACTGAACAACTTCCCCAAATCTTTTTTTTTTTTTGAGACAGTATCCTGTTAAACTGCAGAGRGTGGCCTCTAACTTGCAATTATTCTGTCTTAGTCTCCCAAGAAGCTGGGATAATAGGCATGTGTCATTATGCCCAGCTCTCAAGGAGACTTTAAAGACCTATGAGGACCAGGACCTTGTTGAGGTCCTCATCAACTCATTCAGTGATTAAGTTAAACCTCTTGGTGGGGGATGGGCAGCTCTGAGCCTTTGGAGGGACTCCTAGCCCCTTAATCACCACAACCATAGTGTATAATGCATAGTGCCAATTACTGTCATTTATATTCTATGCAAAGCTCCAAGTCCTGGGGTGATGCCATGCTCAGTCCTATGGCTAATTCAGGCTAACCCCCATGGTCAGAGGATATTCCTTCCGTCCAGTGGGATAAGGGCAAATGCCATAATGCTTGGAACACTAGGGCCAAAGGCACTGAGCCTCTGGGACACCAAGAGGGGCAGAGGCCATAGACTTGGGGCCCAGAGTGTGGAAGTAGCCCATACTGCTCAGGATGTGGCAGRTTTCAAAGGCAAGAGTCTGAGGTTATCAAAACAGGCTATCTTGTGATCCACTGCTCATCCTAATGGAACTGGGTAGAGGCAGAAACTTGGGTATTGAAAAGGGAGAGAAAGTAAGAATTTACAGGACCTCCACATCTACTCTTAGGTCCTCAGTTTTCCTGATTCTGTGATCTGACCATTTTGCTTGGGAGATATTATCCTCCAAGTTCGGGGTCATTGGTTTGAGTTTATGAGCCATTTCTCTTCTTTCTCTCACTCTGTCACTTTTAAAAATTATTGTCTTTCCTACTTGTAAAATTAATGCATATTGTTATTAAAATTTAGAAAACAGAAAAATACAAATAATAACATTAAATACATGATGTCTTGCCACCAACAAATCAATATTCAGCTGGGTACAGTGGTACAAACCCATAATCCCAGCTACTCAGGAGGCTGAGGCAAGAGTGTTGCAAGTTTGAGGTCAGCCTGAGTAACTAAACTAGGTCCTGTGTAAAAATAATTTTAAAAAAGGGCTAGAGACATAACTCAGTTGTAGAGCATCCCTGGGTTCAATCCCCAGGACTGAAAAAAATCAATATTGTATTGTATTCCCTTCTAGAAAAAAATATGTGTATTTAACATATATTTATTTGTTTGTTTGTTTGTTTGTTTGTTTTGGTACCTGGAATTGAACCAAGGGGCACTTAAGCAGTGGGACACACCCCCAGCCCTTTTTTGTATTTATTTAGAGAAAAGGTCTCACTGAGTTGTTTAGAGCCTTGCTAAGTTGTTGAGGCTGGCTTTGAACTTGCAATCCTCCTGCCTCAGCCTTCTAAGCCACTGGGATTACAGATGTGTGCCACCATGCCAAACCAAGGTACACTTGTTTTTATAAAGATAAGATTTTACTGCCCACACCACTTTATAACGACTTTTGTTTTTTCACTTATTGACATTTCCTACGACATTAAATATTCACTCACAGCATTATTTTTCATGGCTGTCCATAATTCATCAAATGGCTACATCACTGCTTATTTATACAGTCCCCTTTATGGTATTGTGTGAGAGGCCTTGAACTTGTAATCCTTCTGCCTCAGCTTTCTGAGTAGCTGGGATCACAGGTGTGCATTACCATATACAGTCAATCCCTTCTTATTGGACCTTCCTTCTCTGAATCATAGCTGCTCTTCTTGTTCTTCTTTCTCATCTTCCTCAGTCTAGGGTGCCTTTAAAGTAATGAGGTTGTGAGTGTTGAAAGAAAACTGGGCCCATAGACCAGAGGTTGACTTGCAACCAGACCGAAACTGATAAGTTAATGTGTGTGGATGCTTTATTCACCAAAGGGGTAGGTCACCGAATAGACTCCATAGGGTAAGATCCACTTATCCACTCACTTTTGGGAACAGGAGACTGTGACTCTAGGTGATGTAACAAGTTCTGAATGGGGTTATGGACCAATCTCACTTCAAAGCTCATGTATAGGATTCAGGGAATGGTGGCAGAACAACTTACTTCCCAACACTATAATTTTTCTGCGAGTGTCCTCACTCAGGAAGGGCTTCATGAGGTTGTAGCCCACAGGGAAGAGTTTCGTGGCTGGAAAAGATAGAAATAAGGAGAAAAGAATATCTTTGGTCCACTCTTTCCATAATGCTTATAGTTGATGATATAGAAGAGTCATAATTATTAACCCTGGCCACTTCTAAGGCCCTTCACTCAATAAACCACCCAACCTATCAGTCAGCCAGCCAACAAACAGTCAATTAACCAATCATTTAATCTATCAACCACCCATCCAACTAACAAAAGAGGCAAACATCCAACCTCCTAATCAGCCACACATTTGGTCAACTAATAAACCAGTCAACCAAGTATCCAACAACAAATAGTCTAACAATTCACCTTCTGATCATCCAACCAACCAGCCAACCTACTGAATAGTCAAATTATCACCTAGCAAATCAGCCAGACAGCAAACCAACCAGCCAACTGAATAACAACTGAACCACACAACCATCTGCTCTCTCCAGTCAGCCAACCGTCCAAGATGAGCCAACTAACCAACCTGCCAACCAGCCACCCAAACAACCAATCAACCAAAATTATTGTCTTTCCTACTTGTAAAATTAATGCATATTGTTATTAAAATTTAGAAAAACAGAAAACAAACTCTCTCAATCAAGCTGACAACTGACTCTCCAACCAACCACTAATTGGTCAACAAATTGGGTAACCAACTGACCGGTCAACTGCATAACCAACTAAGCAGCCCAATTAACAAACAATCAAGCAACCATTCACTATATACCCATCCTTCCATCTACCCACATACCCCAATAACAACTATCCAAATACATAGTGAGAACCCCCCACAGTGCCAGGTCTGTACGGAATACAACAGAAGTATAGATTCAGAGGTCCAGCCCTCAAGGAACAGATAAGTTGGCCAGGGAAATAGGAGAAGCACACCTAAGAATAGAGGCTCCCAAAGGCAACAAACCAGAAAGGCAAAATTGCTGGAGGTAGCTGGGAAAGGAGAGATCACTGTGGGTTAGAGCTGCTTCCTATGACAGGAAGGCCACCCGTAGAAATTACCACTTATTGCACACTTACTGTATGCCAGGGATTTATGAGCAGCCAAGCCACCACCAACCTGCCTCACAAGAACCTTGGGACAAGGGCACTGTTATCATCCTCATGGTCCTGATGAAGAAATGGAGGCACAGATGAGTGAAGTCAGTTGCCACACACCTTTCACGATGAGCATGAATTTCAATCTCTCTGGGTAATTTTCTTCAAGGAGGCCAAAAAACTGCAGAACCAAGAAAACCCCATCAGGGATCATGCTTCATCTTCTCATATGCTCATCTCCTTTTCAATCTCCTTTATGGAAGAGGGCTCTAGAGGGTATTCCTTCTTGTCATCACCTTAACTGGCTTCTATGGGGGACCTTCCTTCTCAAGACTGTTATAACCACACTCTAATAACAAGTATATGATAATTTTAAGAGTAAATGTTACAGTAACATATAATAATATATATATATAATAATAGTAAGGATTGCTTTTTATGAAATATTCACAATTTACCCAGCACTATGTATATACTTTATATAGCAACTTACTGTGGTAACCCTACATCACTATCCCCACTYGGGAGGTGAGGAAACGGAAGCATGGGGAGGTGAACTGACTTGTCTGAGTCTCAGTGCGTAGCACAACAGGGCTGGGAAGAGTTTGCTGGAAGTGGGCCCCTGGGATCTAAATATAGCATTGTCCCTGAGTTTTTCTCTATGGAATCTTTTGGGAAGCATATTTAAGACCCTTTGGGTTCCAAGTGGCAGTGATGGCATCTRGGAAGGCAACCATTTTTTGCTAATCTTTGGCTCTGAGTGAACATCAAGGTCGTAGCAGGCCAAATCGGCTGTCCAATCAAGTCAGAGGAGTGTGCCCATAGGCCTTCTCCTCACCTCCTGGTACACTTCCACCAGAGGTTTCCAGAAGTGTTTCAGTCCCAGGCCTTCACAGTCAAATATCATCACAATGGTTTCAATCTTCTTCCCCAGCTGTGAAAGATGAACAAAAAGTTCCAGGGCTCAGGATGCAGGATTGGGAGACGGTAACCCAAGCACATGACCCTTCAAGCTTCTTGCAGTCCCCCACTCAGTCAGCAGAGGAACAAGGTAGACAAGAATGAATGAATTTCCTCACTCATCCATCCATTCACCCAACCATAGATCAATTCTCCCAGAAATCCATTTATTTTACTCACCCAGTATATCAATTCTCCCATCAATCCATTTATCCTTCTACCTATCATCCCATCCATTCACCACCCAAACATCAGTTTTTCCACCAAGCCATGTATCTATCCATCCTTCTACCCATGAACCAATTCTCCCATCAATCCACTTATCTATCCATCCATCCATCCATCCATTCATTTGTCCAACTGTTACTCATTAGGCTTTTATATTGTGCCAGACATTGAGAGTATAATGGATAATTCTTAATAATTCTCGGTTCTGGTCCTCAAAGAGTTTGTAATCTGATCAAGGAGATGAAAACAATGAAAGCATCCTAGTCCTATGATGAGTGCTGTGATGGAATAGCCCAGCCCAGGGGTTTCTGGAACATAGAAGAGGTTTTTTTTTTTTTTTTTTTAACCCTCCTGGGGCCTCAGAGAAGGCAATATCTAAGTTTGAGACTTCGGATAGATAAGAGAGAGCAAAGGAAAGTTTTAGGAGGTAGATGTGTTTGGTGGGGGAGGGASTTATCCAGATAGAAGGAACAGCAAGAGCAAAGACTCAGAGGGAACAGCAATAATTACCATGGTTGAGAAATATGTATTAGGCCTATGTGCTAAGCCATAAACAGACGGCTCCAATTTGATAGTTACACTTCATGATTTTTTGACTTTACAGAAGTGCAAGACAACATGTGTTCAGCAGAAACTGTATTTTGAATTTGATCTTTTCCCAAGCTGGTGATGCAGTATTCTCTCACAATGTCCAATTGCAGGCTGATGTACATGTTCTGAGCATGTTTAAGGTGGGCTAGGATGTAGGTTGGGTGTATTAAATGCTATTTGACTTATATTTTCTTATTACAAGGGGTSTAATCAGGAGGTAACCCCATTGTAAATTAACAAGCATTTGTACTTACATTATCTCATTTACACTTTGTACCACTGTTTATTATTATCCCTGCTTTGTAGGTGAAGAAACTGAGGCTCAGAGAGGTGAGACGACTTCCCAGGGCCACACAGCTGGTAAGCTGCAGAACTGATGTTTGACCCAGGAGCTTTTGACTGTAGACAGCAAAGGTGTGTTCCTGAGACCACACCCCCTGGCAGCCTCACCTGCCCCACCTGATCTGGGCCTCACCCGCTCTGTCTGCAGATCACACTCATGTAGGATGCGCTCGCAGTCCCTCATCTTGGTCTTGAGCAGGTCTTGCTTGGTGACTGAGAAGAGTAGCCCCTTGGGGTCGAGTGGCCCAATGATGTCATACCACACTGGACAGCCATCACGATCATAGCCACACAGGCCCCCAGGCATGAACTTCTGGATCACCTATGCATGGAAAGGTGCACAGAACTTGACATTTTATACTTCTCTGGAGACCCCCTAGACCTGGCTGGCCAGTGGGGTCCAAGCTTATATCCACCACAGTGCAAAGCACTGGTCCTCCTTTGGAAGGTGGCACTATTTACCAAATAAGAAAACTAGCATTCTGAAGAGGAGGAACTTGTTTGCACAAGATAAATAACTAATCCAGGGCTCAGCTGGGCCTAGCTCAAGGCCTCTGGAATCGTTGGTTCTTTTTTGTTTGTTTGTTTTAATTAATCACACATGACATGACAGTACAATGATCTTGACATATCATACATTTGAATCTGATGGGGGTATAATTTCTCATTTTTCTGAGTGTACAGGTTGCAGAATCACATTGGTCATGCAGTCACGTAGATACATACAGCAAAAATAAAGTCTATTTTATTCTGCTGTCCTTCCTTCCCCCTGGCATCGTTGGTTCTGCCCCCCAAATCTTCCACATCCCTTTCCATGGAGAGTAGTTGGGCTTAGTGATGGAGAATGTGGATTCTGGAGGTCAATAGATCTGGTTCATATACAGACCCAGCTTCTTCTCCGCTGTGTGTCCTTGTGCAATTAAAACAACCTTTCTGAGTACAAGTGACATCACTTCTCTGAGTCTATTCTACCTCCTTTTGAAAAAGTCTCCAAAAAATATTGGAAAAAGTCCGGCCTGGAGCACATGCCCCACAAGTGGAGCTATGATCATTACTCAGTAGATTAATGACCGTAACTCCAGTGGTGTCCCTGATCTTAACAGGACTTTTGTGGGCTGTTTCTTTTCCCACCCAAACAGGATGCTTTGAGTAAAGCCCTAGTGTGGAGGGGTGCAGAAGAACAAGCTAACCATGGCATTCAGAGATCCCCCAAGTTTGGGGAGCCAGAAGGGCCTGAGTTCAAATCCCAGTCCCACTCTGGGTCTCTGAGACTTTGGGAAAGTTGCTGAACATTTGCTGGGCTTCAGTGTCCTTTTCTGTAAAATGGAAATTACAGCACATATCTGATGGAGTTGTGATGTAAATGAGCTCATGCTTATAAATTCTTACCTCAAGCCTCAATCTTGTAAGGTCCCCTTATTACAAAAGAGGAGCCTTTAGGCCCAAGGAATTCTAGAGGTTTCTCAGCCTTGCTCTCCACTCATGGTCCCCAGTGACTACAAGCTTCTTGGATGGTATGTCCATAAAAAACAGAGGTGTTTGGGGTGTGGATTTGACTCACCTCTGGGGGCTGCCAATCAAGGATGTGTTCAATGTCCATGGTCTTGCGGAACTCCATATGCTGAAAAGGAAAGGAGTGGTAAGGTCCCACCAGATTTCCAGCACACCRAGAAGGAGTTGAAAGTAGGGGACTGAGGTATGGGTTGCCCCACATAAAACCTGTCCCCTGATCTCCAGAGGGGGTTGGTCGCACCTTGCGGAGCATCGCCTCTGATTTCTGCAGGTCGAAATTCCGAGCTGTGGGAAGATGGATTGAAAAAAAAAGATATAAGACAGGACATAGACTGCCTTGCTTCTAGCCAGTGGAGGCCATGGGGGAYGCTGGGGGCCTGGGTAGGACCTTATTTCCCTGACCTAGATCTGAACATAAGAAGCAAGATAGTAGGGTCGGATCCTGAGAGCCATTTGTCATTCTGAAGCTATTGACCAGGCCTCTCTTGCTGCCCCTCATTCTGAATTTCCCCACCTCTGCCCTCACCTCGGAGCCAACGAAGAAGGAAATAATCATCAGGGTTAGGCAGGGCTGGAAACACATCCTGGACATTTTCTCGAAACTGGGAAGAGAGATGCTGGTTAGAATTGTTCTCTCACATTGGCCTTGGCTTTCCGACTTAAAGCTCTTGTGATTGCCCCTCCTTCCCTTCCACCTGGAGTCTGACTCACACTGATGAAGGGAAAGGTTGATGGATGGATAGAAGGAGAGATGATCATTGAATAGGTAGGCGAATGGAAGGAGGATTAATGGGTGAGTACGTGGGTAGAAAAAGAATAAAGTGATGAATAAGTGGCTATATGRATGGAGAAAAAGGAATGAAATATCGGTGGATGGCTAGATGGCTGGATGAATTGGTAGGTGAATAAGCAGAAGGAAAAATGTGAAGGTAAAAAGACAGAGAGATAGTGAGCGAATGAAAAATAGGAGTGAACATATGAATAGGTGAGTGGCAAGAAGTATGGGTGGTGGAAGAAAGGATAAATGATTGGGCTGGTAAGTGGATCGGAGTATGGATATATTCTTAGTTCCCGCCATGTGTGAGCYCACCAGGACTTTTTCTTCCCATCTTTTACAAAAACATGGTTAATGGTTATAGTGATTATATGTTCCCTTCTCCATTCTGTGGGCATGCCATCACATTCTGATTTGTCTCTTAGAGAATGGGCATCTTTTCAGGGACTYAGGGAGATAGGGGGAACAGAGTTACAGGGCAGACTGACAGCATCCTTTTGCCCCCACCTAAGAGGCCTGGGAGGGAGAAGATGGTGGTAGGAGGCTGCTAGATAAAGCTATTGGGTCTGGCTCTTGGATGAGGATCTGGCTCAGGCCTGATCTTGGGTAGACATCACCCAGACTATTGCCAGAAGTGTTTTTTTGTTGTTTTTTTTTTTCTCTCAGTACCTGTCCTGGACAGGGCTGATGTTACTGGGCTCCTTTGGAACTTGACCCTTTGGAAAGTGACAGCAAAGAGACAATGCCAAAGATATGCTTAATCAACAGAGTAGGGCAGGGTTCTGGCCACCCCTTCCCACCCCAACCCTCAGCCATTTTCCCATGGGGCTCCAGGAAGAGGGATTCTCACCTTGGCCAGGGTCTCTGCCTGCTTGGGGCTCAGGTCTCCGACTCGGCCGCTCATGGTGCTGGCTGAGCTTAAGGAGTGGTGGCTACTGTAGGTAGAGGCCCAAGCCTGTCCGCCCCAGTGCAGCTGGGGCCTTTTGCCCCCACTTCTGGGCGTGGCTCCAGGCACCTCCTCCAGGACAACTGTTTAGATTGCACGTTATGTAACTGGGATTAAGTGAGGTCCCATGCTTGGCTCTGGGACAGGTCTGGGGAATAGGCAGGGACCAAAGGTGAGCCTGAGGTCCCCTGCCAGGTAGAGATAGCTGGGAGGGAAGGAGACTGGCCTCTGTGGCCTGGGGGGGTCCAGAGTGAATGCCTGAAGAGGCCCCGTTAGTGCTTCAATGCCTCTGTCCTGGAGAATGGGGAGTTTCAGAGAAATTGAGTGCCCTTTCTCCCTGAGCCTCATCTTTCAGCTTACTCACGAAGAGACTCAACACCTAGGACTCTTCAAGGATTACTCCTCTACCCAGTTTCAACAGGGTAGGAGTCAAAAGCTTGGTTAGTCTACACAATGGTCATTTCACTTTGCTGGAAGTTGGGGGGAGGCTAATGTCCTCCTTTTGCACCAAAAGTCTGTAGTCAAGTAGAGAACAGGATGAGGCAGAAAATGGAACTCAAAAGGTGTTCTTTGTGAAAATTTGTTTATTCCATGGGGATACTGCTCCTTTTCCTGATGTCTTTCAAATCTCATCCCAAGGAGCTGGTCCTGGAGACCTCAGGATGGGAAAAAGCCGAGCACCCCTACCCTGCTGTTTCTTCCCATCGCCAAGGTCATGAAAACAATAAGGACTTGTCCAGGACCCTGTGTGTGCCTCCAGTTAGTAACAGCTCCCTTAGTGAAGTGGTAGGCAGGCTAATGGCCTTGTGCAACGAGGGTGTTTTTAAACACCTGGGATTTCCAATACCTGATCACTGAAGGACATCCACCTGAAAGGGAAGGTCACCTACGAGAAGACCCAGAAGGTTTCTCCAGCCTTTGATTTCTATCATGCTGCCTGACAGTCCACCAGTAGATGAACCTGCAAAGACCCAGACTTTCTCCCCACTTCTGTATAAAATCTCCATTTCAGGATGGCATCTCTGAGGGTCACTTGCCTACAGAATGGAGCTGTCAACACCTGCCCTGCCCTCCTTAAATAGTTGGAAGGAGGACCTAATGAGACACATAGACTTTTAAGGATTATACACATCTAAGGAATTATTCTCTTGTAGTTCTCAGAAGCTTCAGGAAGGGAGAGACTCTTTTATCAATGATGGTCTGTAAAACAACCATCTCTTGAGGATAACAGTATTAACTTTTCTGGGCATCAAGGGAATCTATATAAGCTGAAACCACCTCCGGTTAAGCTTTAGTCCCCATGGCTGGCCCACGACTCCTGGGCTATCTTGTGCCCTCTATTCCGGGCTATCTCAGGGCACAAGTGGATGATTCAGAGGTACCAGACTCTGTATCTTTCTTGGTCTGGACCCCTGATACAGTTGTGTCCAAAGGAAGGTGGAGGCATTTCTGTCTGTATCCCTTTGTGTGGGGCACAGCTATGTCACTTAGAAGCAGTTAGGTAACTCTCCACACCCTAGCCCCACCCCACTTCACATTCCAGCTTCAGTTTACACAAAGCCTGGGCTACACCCCTCTCATCAGGCTGGCAGCATGCACAGATTGGGTTTCTCCACTGCTCTATCATTAGATCCTAATCCTGCCTGTTTCTCACCAGTCTCCTTTCTCACCTTAATCCCTCTAATGTGAAGCATCCCAGTTGCTTCTGGGGGCATCAGAGGTTTGGCTGCAGGGAAGTAAGGAAGGGTTGCTGATTCTCCCAGAAGCTGTGGACCTTCAGAGACATCTTTAAGCACCTTTTCTGGCCCAGATCACAAGTGCTAAGCAACCTTCTGTGTACACTATGTGGTACTGGGGTCAAATCCAGGGCCTCATGCATGCTGAGCAGGTATTCTATCATGAGTTATCTCTAGCCTCAGAAACTGAAATTTTAATTTAATTGAATTCTGATTAATTTTGCTCTAAATTTCCCCAATGTGATTGTAGCTACTGTATTAGACAGTGCAAAGGGATCATGTTTCTTGAAAGCTTATTACATGGAAGGGCTCATTCTGAATGTATCACCTCTTTTAAACATTAGAAAATCCCTTGGGGGTAGGTTCAGCCTCATCAGTAAGATGAGGAAACTGAGGTAAAGGGAAGTTAAGCAACTTATCCAAGGTTAAGCTCAAGTCATTACCCACTCTGCTTTTGCACTGCTAGGTTATCCCATAGTTTTGGCTCCAGGAGCTTCCACCCTAATTAGGGAGAGAACTCAGGCACAGGGGTCACCCCGATGTGATACAGGTGGCATTAGAGCCAGGCCTGGGAAGAAAAGGGAAGATGCTAATTGGTGGAGAGCCAAGTAGAAGACTGAGCATCCCAAGTGGAAGGAATAGTTCCTTCCAAGCAAAGATGAAGAGGTGAGAACATGGGGGAAGTGATGGGGATATTACATTAAACGAGATGGATTAGAACTTTATGTCATTATCAAACCATCTGGAAGCAGATATGAGTATCTCCATTTTACAGCCAAAGAAAAAGGAAATTAAGAGAGATCAAGAAAATTTTCTGAGGTCATGTAGTCAGAATTTGAACCCTAGTCAGGCACAGTTGTGCATACTGAAATCCCAGAGATTTAGAAAGCTGAAGCAAGAGGATTGCAACTTCATGGTCAGTCTCAGCAACTTAGCGAGACCCTGTCTCAAAATAAAGAATAAAAAGGACTGAGAATGTGGGCTGGGTTTGTAGCTCAGGGGTGGAGTGCTCGCCTAGCATGTGCGAGGCCCTGGGTTTGATCCTCAGCACCGCATAAAAATAAATAAATAAAATAAAGGTATTGCATTCAACTACAACTAGAAAATAAATATATTTTTTAAAACAAGTCGAGGGGGGGRAGGACTGAGAATGTAACTCAGTGGCAAAGTATCCCTGGGTTCAATACTCAGTACCAAAAAAAAAAAAAAAAAGTTAGAATTTAAACCCAAACCTGTCTGAACCTTCATTAGAACTACAGCACGTCCTTCCATCTCTCAGAAGTTTCAACATTGTGGCTGTAATATAGTGAGAGATCAATAAGTTATCTAAATCATCATCATAGCTTAGAAAGCTGGGATCTACCCTCTTTTTTKGGGGGGAGGCATCTATCCTCTTTGAGTTTCAGGCTGTCTTGGGGCCAACAGGATTAAAGTTCCCTTCTTTAAAACAAAGGCCTGGGACAGGAGAACCCCCTCCCCCCACCTTCTGTACACATCCTCTCAAAGCAAGGCTCCCATGGTGTGTTTAGCAACTTATTTGCCAAGCTCCCAGGGGACCATGACAACAACCACACATAAACAAATTACCACAGGCGGGTAGACAGAGTTGCRAGCTAGGATCCCTCCTTCCAGGCTGTTACTAGGAAACATGAAAGGGCTGCCCCTCTGGCCCCAACATCCAGCACATTCCTGTCCACCTGCTCTATGCGAATCATGCCAGAACTAGTTGATCAGTATGGGGTGGGTAGAGGGGGTACAGGAGTCTCAACCTGGGGCAAGCATTCCTGGGAAGAAGCAAGCGTGGGGAGGGGGGGTGTTCAGACCACAGAAATAGGAGGTAGGGCTTAAAAAGGAGATTTGGAAAGGRAATTGGGGTGCTTTAGAGTCCCAGTGATGCTTTGAGTCACCCTCTGGGACAGTTCCCATACCAGCTTTTACCCTTCAACATTTTCATCTTATTTATTTAAGATAAAAATTTTTTAATGGCACTGGGGATCAATCCCAGGGTTTTGTGCATCTAGACAAGTGCTCTACCACTGAGCTACATCCCCAGCCCTTTACTTTCTTTTTTAAATTAAAAAAAAAATTAAGTGTAATATAATTCACARACAATAACCGTATTTCCCCACACAACTATCAACACTGTGTAATCAACACACCTTGCTTTTTCAGTCCAAAAATTGATTTATAACCTCTTATAATGTATTCATCACATGGTCTAATTCTCTTCATCATGTGGCTTAAAAGACAAATAGCTTAACAATGTATTCATTAGAGGAATATGGAGGCACATTTGTCTTCTTACACACTGAATCCCTAGAATCCTCAGTCCACATGTAATTTGTCAGTATATTTCTGAAAGCTGACTTGCATGGTAACCACATTTTATATGAATGGTACTGAGGAAGATTAAAATTTGTAAGTCCACACTTGGCAACATTATAGTAAATTTATCAATAACAGCTGATGTGTTAACATTTTTTCAGACTGGAAAATGRTTCACTATACTGTCACAAAGAAATGACGTGCATTGTTTGAACTATTCAATTTTAAGATATATTCACAAGTATTCAATGCATCCCAATCTTGTACCCAACGACAATCTAGTAATAAATATTTTTAAGTAATACCAGCGCAAATTTTAAAAATTCACATAATGTTTACATCGGACTTTTTTTGCAAAAAAAAAAATATTAGCATAAAATCTGGGACAATTATGTGGTGAAGCATGGAATTTTCTTATTCTTAAAAGGTATATATTCTCAAAGTTGTATGCAACCATCACCACTATCTAATTACACTAATTTACGTCATTCTTCCCCAAGCCCATCATTAGTCATTCCCCACCCTGCTCCCCTACTTCAGCCCCTGACAAACAATAATGTACTTTCTTCTTTTTTTAATTATTTTTTTTAGTTTTAGGTGGACATAATATCTTTACTTTATTTTTATGTGATGCTGAGGATTGAACACAATGCCTCATGCATGCTAGGCAAACACCCTACCACTGAGCCACAACCCCAGCCCCAACCACTAATGTACTTTCTATATAGATTTCCCTGTTCTGAATATTTCATATTAATGGAATCTTTAAAAGTATATTTTCAAAGTTCATCCAATTTGTAGCATATACCAATATAGTCAGGAGCCACATAACATTTTGATGAACAATGGATGACTATACCACAGTGGTCCTATGTGATTATAATGGAGTTGAAAATTTCTTAGTTTGGTATTTTTTGCTGTACCTTTTCTATGTTTAGATGTTTTAGTACCCGAATATTAACCATTGTGTT